CACAAATGGGGGAGAGGGCTAGGGGAGGAAGGACAAAGGGAAAGAATTAGCACTGCTCTGAAAAATAGGTCTACTTTCTTTGTACATTAAGACTGAGTTAGAAAAATATTTCTCGTCTTCACCATTGTCCTTAAGTTGAGTGTGTGTGTGTGTGTGTGTGTGTGTGTGTGTGTGAGAGAGAGAAGAGAGAGAGAGAGAGAGAGAGAGAGAAAGAGAGAATCCAAAAGTTACCTGTTGACAACAGGGACAGGAGTGTCTTTAGCTCACGACCTAAAGGGAAACCCACACTCATGCTATATTTTGTTGCAGGACTTGAGTGTCAAAGCTCCAACACGTACCTTGGACTGTAAAGTGGCAAAGGCCTCTGTGATCTGTTATCCTGGAGGCACCTGGCTATTGATCCAGACTGCATATCTCAGAACTGGGAAATGTGCTGCTGCAGAAGAGGTGGATCCTGTGGGCCGAGAACGGGGTTTCACAGAATGTGGTCATAGCAGAGAACACATTGCTGGAAGGAAGTTGATCTTGAAGACATGAGAACAAGGAAGCAAAGAGGATCCAGGATTTCCTGAGATGGCCACCACAAAGGCTTTACCGTCCTGGATATTTTTCTTTCAGAATATAAGACCATTTATATTTAGTGCAATGTTTAAAAACTTTTCTTTCTGTTGGAATTTTCTTTAATTATTCTAACCTTTCAGTAGATGTTGATATTCTCACTTCTCCTGAGCTTGAGCAGAATAGGAAAGAATATAAAAGCATTTTTTATTAGAGTCTATCTATCTATCTATCTATCTATCTATCTATCTATCTATCCTCTTTCTATCATCTATCAAGACAGCAGAATCCTACAAACTAACCTTTGATACTCAAAAAGGTTCAGGGAAGCTGAATATATAGAGCTGAATCACTGTGCCCCAAGGCCACCTGGATTCGCTGCCATTATGATCACAATGCTCTTTCAAAATGAATGCCTATAAAATGGGTTTCACCAATTTTTTAGCACTTAACATTTTTTTCCTGTAATTAATGGCAGAGATGTGGAAAAAGCAGCTGTGACTCCTTCAAGGATCATGTTAATTCAAGCAGCTACTATTGCTAGACAACCTTTCTATGCCCAGACCATCCTGAATGCTTCCTTGACCATAATTGGCTATTCAACTGGACCAGAATTATCAACAACAAAAGCAGCACAGAAATATAAAGATCAAACATGTGTTCCCATTTAAAAAGGACACATCTAGGAAAGCAGGAAGATTGGTGAGTCTTGCCTTTTTGGTCTCTAAATTGAGCAAGTGAGGCCTGAGCCCCATGGTTGCAGCTGCTTACCCACAGATCATGACGGTTGGGAAAGGGGAAGCTGCCAGTCTAGAAAACTCTCCTTTTGGCAGGTAACAAAAGACCACACAGTGCTGGTAGCTTTCAAGTGCCATTCAGGCATAACAATAAAAGGTAAGTCAGGCCTGGACACTAAAAGCTGCTGTTGGAATCAGGCAAAACCATTCTTCTATAATTACTGGAACCAGAAGTTGTTTAAATAGGAAAAACTTGATTGGGTTATGTATTGATTTTTGCTGTTGTTAAGAACATTTTTTATTCCTTTAGAAGACATCACAGCCACATCTTAATAGCTTAATTTGAATGAATTTTTTAAAGGGATGAATTAATGCCACCTTTTGTTTATAATTATAAGGATCAGTGGCTGCCCCAGGCCCCTATAAAGCCAGGGGTCCATTTACTGAGGGAGGAAAACAGAAACTAAGCTGCTTTGCCTGGAGGGCCTCCACAGGCTAGTGGTTTGAGCAAGGTTTTATCTCTCTAATGAGTATAATATTAAAATTAGGTGGGTGCAAGAGGTTTTATTTTTGCAGTATTTGAACCATATATACGGGCATCTGCCAATGCCAATCATGTGACGTATATGGGCACAATTAATTGCTTGTGCTAGCACTTATGCTGACAGCATTTGTTTTATGCACCTGCTTCTTCTCCAGTTTCAATTTTCTTCGATCTTTTGATTTTGTTTTAATGTGCAGGGGTTTGCTGAAGTGTGACCACTTAGAGAGCATCTGGGCTTGCATGGGTTTTAAAACTGAATCCACACTTTAACAGTTTCTCACCTCAATCTTGATTAGAAAAAATGAATTCATCATAGTAACCAATATTAATAGTTCCTTCACATTCCTAAGTGGTTACATTTGCTTCTTGATTATAATCCTCCATTTGGAGTTTGGCTCCCTGCTTTGTCTCAGATTCCCATAGGTCTTATAATAGAGCCTATCATTTGCATAGCATTTTAAAATCCTTTTTCAATCATTAATTAATTAATGCTTAAGATGTCCTTTCATGATCTCCATTTAATGTATAAATAAGCAAACTGGGCCAAGCAGAGGTTAAAGGACTAGACTAGGGCCACATAGGGATTTGGCTAAGTCCTTTTATTCAATTTTTCAAATTTTCAATAAGGAAGATACAATTTAATGCTCACCAAAATTTGCAACTTCAATATTACACTATGAGGGTCAGTTAATGAAGTTGGACGATCTGGGGAAACATTGTCTCTTTGTGTAGTGTTAGGTTTTCAAGTGGAAATGAGAATGCTATGATTTCTTAAGGCCATGGCAACCTCCTGGCTCTGTAGGCTCAGGCCAAGCCTTAGAACAGAATCACTTTTTGAGGAGAAGCTGTTTTTTGAAAGCTAAAAATTATTGCCCTGGAAAGAAATGCTGATAATGCACATCAAAGACATAGGATAGGAAAGGTTTGAGGTCATGGTCTTCTTCCCAGGAGACCTTTCCAAAGAAGGAAAAATTGGGACCCACAGATCAAGCAGGTAAAAGTTCAAGATGGAGAACATGCATCTGACCTCCTCAGGAACTCAGTGGTGACTATAGAAATGAAGGGCTTGCAAGCTGGGAAGGCTCTCTCAACGTCCTACCGAATGTTTAAGAAAATAGTACTTTTTTGCGCCTCGTCGCATTTGGGATCTACAGGGCACTTCTGCGCCCGGTTCTCCACGGCGTTCCAATAAAGACCTGCTTAACTGGCTGTTTCCCTGAGCTCACAACAGTATCTGAGTTGGGAGGAACATCTGCTGCTGTTAAAAAAGAGCAAAGACAAGGTGGACAACAGAGACCCAGATGGAGGAGAAGTGTCTACACCCTGGGAAGTAGACTGGACAGAAGAGGCAAGCTCCCGGGGAGCAGTGGTCACTTTTGAGATGGTCACTGGCGGCCTTTGCACAAATGTTCTGAAAGCACTAAATGGGATATTGTCTTGGTTTCCTTGGGCTGGTAAAACAAACCACCACCAACGTGGTGGCTTAAAATGACAGCAGTGTATTCTCTTACAGCTCTGGAGGCAAGAAGTCCAAAATCAGCATGTGGACAGTGTTGGTTTCCTCCCGAGGCTCAGAGGGAGGATTCGTGTCAAGCCTCTCTCTGAGCATCTGGTGGCTGCCAGCAACTATCTTGGCTTGTAGATGCAGCATTCCAATTTCTGCCTCCGTCCTCTTGTGGCTATTTTCTCTCTGTGTCTGTGTATCTCAAATATCCCTTTCTTTTTTCTGATAAGTACCAGTCATTAGACTTACAGCCCACTCTATATCCAGGATGATTTCATCTGTTCTTAACCTAATGACATCTTGCAAAGATCCTCTTTCCAAATAACCCCACAGGTAGTGGGGTTAAGACTTGGTTGTGCCTTCTTTTGGAAATATAACTCAACCCATTACAGATGTCATCTTTCAAATCTTGGATCTGGGGCGAAGCTGAAACAGTCTCTAGATTTTCCTAGGTTTTTCTTGTGACTGCAGACAGAGACTGACAATAATAATAATAATAATAATAAGTACTTCAACGTGTTTCTTTAAACAATAACATTCTCCTTTATAACCACATTACAATGACCACAATGACTGTTTCTGGAGGCAGAGCTGACAAATGCTTCCTCCTGCTTCTCTCTTGTATTATCCTATTCATCCAGCTCTATGCCCAACTGGAGAGAGGAATTGCTTTGCAGCCCCCAATCCTCCTGCATCCAGTGTCCACAGGAGAAGGGCTGCAATGTGGACAACAAAGAGAAGCCTTCATTCCATTCACACCAGCAGGGAGATGCCTCCACTTTCTCCTGGCTCAGACTATCAATGATCCACTGAGGCCCAGGAGAGGAGGGCAGTTCTCCAATTTCTGGGACTTTGGATCTTGTGGGTGGGAAAATAATTCTTTCTCTGGCCATGCAATTCATAGGATAATGATCTGGGTCCCCTGGCAGTGTCTTTGTGTTATCCTGATCCTGCTGCTCCTTCCCAAACTCCCCAAATCTGTTCTTTGGGGGAACTCCACAACCAGCCCAGCCATCCAATTTTGTGACTTAATGAATCATTCTGAGATTTTCCCCTCTCTCACCGCCTGCATCAAATCAGTCCCTGGGTCATGTTGATTCTTCAACTTTATATTTCCTAATCCACCCCCACCCTTCCATCCTTGTCAGCCTTGTTCCCTTTCTGGCTTCCATCACTGTCTTGTAAACTATTAACATCAACTCTTTCTCTGGTTAGCCTTCCTCCAGTCAATCCATATTTCTAATCCATCAGCTACTCTACAACAAAATTGATGTCTCTACTGATTTTTAGGTACTCTCTTGCTTTAAATCTTCCACTGGCCTCCTTGGCCAGATTAATGTCCAACTCTTTAGCAGGCCACAGATCTCTTTATGACAAAGTTGACTAGGTTGCTGAGTCTGCTGTCAATGGTACAGACATGATTTCTGCTAAAAGGACCTCTTGGTGCCAAAATCCCAAGGGAGGTGCTCTAGTATATAGTGGAAAACACCTCTACTCAGTCCACTGCTAACCAAATCTGTGCATCCAGATGCTGCCAAACAATCAGTCATACTCAAGAGACTTTACTTTTTAAATACAGAGCATGAATATTTTGTGGGTGGTCTATTGGCTTTTTAAAAATTGTACCCTCTTTCTTCTTCCTCTGAAATCTCATTTCCCAGAACCTAGACTCTATGCTGGATTGGGTTTTGTGCTGGGCAATAAAGATCTTTTCCTCTGAGTGTTCACTCATTGGTCTCTTAACCTTTGCTTATTTTTAAAATCTTTCTCTAAAACCTCATGTTCTCTCATTTCCCCCAAAGCTTCTTGTATTCTACCCACTCAAAACCTCTTGGAATTCCCTAAGCACTTTTGATTACATTCCTCCATGCATTTGCCCATGCTGTTTCCTCTTGCAGGAACACCAAATGCCCTGTGTGTGCCTGAGTCCTTTAAGCGTAAGTACTCCTCTGACTCCCCCAGGCAGGCCTGGGAACTTCTTGCTTGGCATTCCTATATCCAACCCCAGGATCGAGTTTTAAAAACTATTACTATCCCATTAATAGGTGAAATAAATCTTTTAAATGAGATAGACCAAAAAAATCAAACATATTGCAGTTAGTAAGCGTCTGGTATGTGAACTTTTGCTGCTGCTGCTCTTGGTACATGCGTGTGCGCGCGCGGGTGTGTGTGTGTGTGTGTGTGTGTGTGTGTGTGTGTGTGTGTGTGTACTGGGTCTGAGTGTCAGGATCTTGTCTCAGTTATGTTTGTATGCCTCAGGCCTGGTCAGTGGTTGCACAGGGTTGACAGTCAGCAAATGTTGGGTGAATGAAAAAATCAGTGCGACTGAGCGAAACCTGCACAAAGTTCTCAGCACTTTCTCAGGAGGCCAAGACGAGTAATGACAAAACACCGAGGATTTCAGAATTCACTTGCTAGCCCTACCCATGTTTGCAAATAACCAAAGTTCAGAGTAAGTCATGCCTGTGTCTTCTGCAGGTTACAGACTCAGACGCAGCTAATATTTATTTAGCATCTACCTCTTTGTTACATGCTATTTCACTTAGTCTTAGAAAAATGGTGCAGTCATAATTCCTTTTTCAGGCACAACGTTGCTTCAAGCTATACCACAAACCCTGGGCGAGGACTGTGCTTGCATTTGCATCTTTTACCACTTAAGTGAGTATTTGTTCTTTTTTTTTTTTTTTAATGTTTTTATTGATATCAGAGAGAGGAAGGGAGAGGAATAGAGAATGAGAGAGAATCACTGATTGGCTGCCTCCGGTACACCCCCCATTGGGGATTAAGCCCACAACCTGGGCATGTGCCTTGACCGGAAATCTAACCATGACTTCCTGGTTCATAGGTCGATGCTCTACCACTGAGCCACACCAGCCGGGTGAGTGTTTGTTCTTTTATATAAGGAGATGCACAAGTCAGGAGTGTGGCAGCTTCTGGAAGCTGTGGAGGAGTGATAGGGGGAGGAAAGAGGCAGAACAGGCCACTTGCTCAGTTACAGCACTGAGAAAGCAGCTACGCGGAGAAGAAAAACATTACCACACATTTGTGACAAAGACTTGTAAAGCCTGTGAAGAAGTGATCTGAGTAGGCGCATCAAAGGTCCATTAACCAAAAAGCAGAAGATGCGGCTAAGTATGATGGGAAATATTTGTCACACAGTTGTACTGTCACGGATGGGAGCCGTTGGCAGCTGTTTTGTGCCACTTGTACATTAACCACACAATCAGGGAGATTGATTTGGAAACCTGGCTCCCGAAGCCCTCCCCTGTCTGCTTTCACCTGCCTGCTCTCTCTTCCCTCACCCCTACCCCCACAATCTGCTCACAAGGGCCCCCTCCCCCCAACTCCTACTCCCATCTGGATGCTTCAGAGCAGATGTGGACAGAGCCATATGCTCCATCGCTCTAACACTGTTGTGTTTCTATATTGCCTCAAGTGAAATTGTGATGATCATTTATTGTTATCATCAGTAAGTCAAATAATGGTGATGGTTATTGATTTGCCCAATATTGATTTGGCAAATCAATTAATTTGTTTAGTAGGAACCCCACACACAAGGAAAGGAACTCATTGAAAGAGGAATGAAATTATTTATATTTACTCATCTAAAATAGGCAAGTACAAGACCTCACCATTGGTTCTGTCCTATTGGACATTTTTATCAGGACTTGGACCAGGCATAAAAGACCTGCTGATCAAATTTTCAATTGGCACGAAGCTGGACAGGATGGCTCATGGCTCATAGGCTAGATAAGAAGATCAGCTTTTTAAAAGATCTTGACAAGTGGAACAAAAGGCCAAAGCCAACATGAAAAATTTAATAAGAAAAAAACGTAGGTCCTGCACTTGAAGTTTAAAAAGAAAATTGCTTCAAAAGTATATAGGATGGAAGGAAAATATCTATCTTTGTAGCAATTCTAATGAAAACAACTAAGGCTTTCAGTGGACTTCAGCCTTACTGTAAGTTAACCACAAAAGTGATGCAAAGTAGGCTGTATGAATAGAGGCAGTAAGTGTCCATCCACAGATCCAACCATATCTGCAAAACTCCAGGTGACTGTCACATTTAAAATAAAAATCGAAATATATGTCAGCTCATCCACCCATAAACCCCCACCATATGTAACACCTTAATCAATACAGAAATTAAAGATTGAACAAAAAAGAAATATATGTCACATTGAATGATTGAACAGTCTTTTTATAAAATTCAACTTCAAATATTACTGGAGTGACATAGCTTAACTGAGGTAGTAAAATATTATTAGATGTATTTTTAAAAACATCCAACATCCCCTAAGCCGGGTAACCTGTGCTCATATCCTGGGTACATCCTTCTATGCTGTTATTCATGCTGATACAAACATATACAAACAAATACACATGCATATAAGATTTTCATTCTTTTTTGTTTTTTATTAAGTGGATCCTTCAAAACCGATTCCTCTACAACTTTCTTCCTTCACTTAATGATGCGTCACGACTCCTCTCTGGGTTAATATGGATAGTTCTGAAGTATTTTTACAAATGCTTACTATCCCATGGTATGGATGTGCTATCATTTATTCAGCCTTTCTCAGTGTCACATTTTAAGAGAATTTTGGCAAATAGGGGAAGGGTTGAATCTGCAGGGTAGGTGTAGAAGGTGGAGCCAGAAGCTGTGATATACAAAGAATGCCCAAAGCAAGCAGAGATATATTTTTAAAATATTTTATTGATTTTTTACAGAGAGGAAGAGAAATTGATAGAGAGCTAGAAACATTGATGTGAGAGAAACATCGAACAGCTGCCTCCTACACAACCCCCACTAGGGGTGTGCCTGCAACCAAGGCACATGCCCTTGACTGGAATCGAACCTGGGACCCTTCAGTCCGCAGGCTGACGCTCTATCCACTGAGTCAAACCGGCTACGGCCAAGCAGAGATATTTAACGGGAGGATGGGAGGTGGGTGGGCAAAAGGGAGGATTAATATGCTTCATTAATTAATATTGGGGTTTTGCTCAATTATTATGGGATTGAACAAATCTGTGATTCTCTGTGTAGTGTTTGGTTCCTTGTCAAGACAGGGCTGGGGAAGGGAGACAGTGGGGACTGCTTCCTTCGGTGGTTGGACGGATGTGCAAAACACCAGTTTTGGGGGTTAACAAGCTTGCTCCCCCACCCCCAGAGAGCTGGCAGGCATGGAGCAACTTCCACAGTAAGCACATTATACAAACACTAGGAGAAAATAATAAAAATAATGACATTAAAAAGAAAAATCATTGTAGAAACCAAACAAACCCAGCCCTAGAGCTCAGGCAGGCACCAGCGGGGATGTTGTTGGCATGCTTGGGAGAAATTTGATTTCCATGAATTTCATTGTCAGCGTAACCCGGGCATGAATCACCCTCCTCCCATCATTTTAATACTGCAGATTTAGGGAACATGGCATTAGAGAGATAAAGAGGCTCACAAACAGCATTAGCCAGTAGCCCCCTGGCCTCGAGGCAGAGCCGGTCTCAGCCAGGAGGCCGTTCCTGCTGTTATGGACCTATAAATCTGAAGGCAGTTGAATCCCTGCGGGATTGGAGGCTGTCAACCCTGAGACCAGAGCTGTTGCTTTTCCAGCTCCCAACCTCGCCCTCTCTCCACAGACCACCTGATTACGAGTTGAGACAGGAATTTTCTCACTCAGAGGCAAGGATTCTGGGGAAAGCAGGGGCCTGGCAGAGCAGGTGCTGGAGAAAGTCAACTCTCAGTGGGCTTCCCTGATCCTGAAGGTTCTCTCCTGAGGTGCTGGGAAAGCCCGTGCCCTGGCAGAGACTCAGGGAGGCAGCACCAGCATAGGAACAGGAGGCGGTAGGAAGGAGGGATAGAGGGAGGAGTGCTGACAGCCTGCTGATCAGGGAGTCCCTGACAGCCCTGAAACCATGCTCTCATGCTATTTTTTTAATGAACACGTAGTTGATCCTTTACTGGGTGTCAGGCACAGTGCCAGGCACTTCACATAGACAACCTGGATCCATTCTCCCAAACCTCTGGTAGGCACTCTCCCATGTACACTCTACATAGGAGGAGGCTGAGGCTCAGGGATATGGCATTACCTGACTCAGCTCACTAGGTGGTCAGGAGCGGAGCCAGGCTGGATGCCAGCGTCTGGACCTGTTCATTTAAGATTTGATGATGGCAAATTGTCACGAGTAGGGTCTTGGGGGGAAAGTGGGCCTAAAGCTTGTGCTTTCTCTCTCTTTTGATTATAAAGCCAACCAATTTCACATGTTCCATTTCAAAATGCTCAAGCTACCCTCATTTATCTAGAGTTCATCATCGGCCTTAAGATTGCTTAGGGGATGGGGGACTTGTTTAATTCATATCAGTGTATCAGGCTATTACCATCCGTGCAGGTAACTAAAATAGGACCTAGAAATTAGAACTAGGAAAATCCACAAGGAACTGTGGCTTGCCTGCCTCATGGTGGCATTTTTAAAATGACAGGGTCCACTGACGATTTTTTTTTTCCCCACAGAGAGGCAGTGAAGAACAGTGGTCAGGACTATAGTCATTAAATTTTAATTCTAGAGTCAACTGATTGGGTTTTACCTGTGACTTTGAGTAAGTCACTTAACCATCTACAAAATAGTGATAATAATAAGATGCAATCTAGTTCTAGAGTGCTCAGTTCAGTACCTTGCACAAAATTGGTGTCCTGTTGGGTACAGAGATGACACAGCAGAGGCATTGCCATTAAGATGTGCACTTGGAGTTGTTTTTCCTTTAGTGACATGTTACTGTCAATCCATTTCTATTCATAATGATGGCATCTTTTGGGGAATCATTTGGGAACTGCATGACCTGGGTAGAGAATGAATGCCAGGTAGGAAATAATCCTGGGCTCTGAGATCCAGCACACCCGATTCCTAGTCCTGACTTTACGAATCATCACGTCCAAGTCGCTCTATGCAGATCCTTGAATGAAGGATCACAAGAGCCATTTTGCCTAGCATTGTCCACCTGAAATGAGGTCACAGATATAACGCATCCAGAGATGTCTGGCCCCCAGAACATGCGCATCGGTCATTAGTTCCCTTCTGCCATGGCCTAACCACCAAACTTCCCAAACCAGACCACTGGTGCGTGTCAGACTTCCCCAGCCCTGTTTCTGTTCCTTGACCAGGAGGCCCCCACATCCTCAGGCACTTAGGTGACCCTCCATGTAAAATTGAGTTTCAAGGTAGAGAAGTCTGGTCATTAGATGGAAATTTAAGCAGTAATTCAATCAGATTCCAACTAGATGAGGGAATCCTTTCATTAAGTATGTAAGAGCCTTTTGAGATCTAAATTTATGCAGAAATAACAAGAGAGCTACCTGTCATTCACTTCAATTTTACATACATCCAGCTGGTACCTTTCCTGACTGCTCCCTGAGCACAGGCTCCAGCTGCATTAATAGGGATGTGTGTGCTTTGTCAGGTCCGCACCCCCAATCCAGGACCTCAGAGTCCTCAATGAAAATGAAAAATTGGGATAAGATGTTTTTGAAGGTCCCTTTTGGTCATCAGCATTCGATGGTTTCTTTTCTCCGCCTGCTGAGGACTCCCTGTAAGACACTTCTCATCCTGAGACCTTCACTTAAAACCCCTCCCGCAGGCAGAGATGTCCCACTCCCATGCCGGGATCCCTGGGAACCTGATACGTACTTCTTTCAAACCTTTCCACCTTTATGGGCCCCCTACTAGCCTGTGAGAACCTTAGAGGTAGGCATGAACACATTTAGTTCTGTGCTCCCAGAATCCAAGTTATTGGCTGGCACATAGTAGGTATTTATTTTTGCTGAAGGAAGGCATGTTGAAGAAACAATAAACAAGGTAGTTCCTCTATCCTCATGTGTAACATGGGCATAAGAGTATCTATCTCATAGGGTCTTATGAGAACTAAGTGAGAAAACCCATTGTTAGTGTTTAGCAGGGGGCCTTATACAAAGTCATCCCTCAGTAAATGGTAACCATCATTACATTATCAACATTCCAATTCCCATATTGATAACCTCATTTTAAAAACATGCAGAAAAAATGCCTTGCCTTTGGGATAACTCTGTGGACCAAACACAGTGCCGAGAAAAAAAGCTGACATCTTTATTTCTTGTTCTGATCTTTAAAGAAGTATTATGAAGCTTCTGTCTGAGAGGCTGGGGTTTTAGACTTTGCTCAGACCTGTGGTACTTCAGGGAAATTTGGCTGAGGCTCAGGCAGGCAGAGAGTGAGGAAGAACTGTTTGACCTGCTGAGAAAGTAGCTCTTCTGGTCTTTGAGGAAGGAATGAAAAGTACCCTTTAACTACTCTTTGACACAGCTTCCATATACAAACCTTTGAGCCTGTGGCTCAGGAGGAGAGATCAGGGAAGATATCCAGGAGGGAAATTATTTTCCATAAAAGTGATGTTTGGCAGATATCACAGTGTGCAAGAAATAAATACTCCTTAAAACAGAAGGCAAAGACACATGTCTCTGGAAATTTAGCAATGTTCCTAAGAGTGATCTAGATGAAGACTAGATGGGAGGAGACATGGGAATACTCTGTGCAGAATCGTTCTTGTTGAGTGTTAGCAAAGAAACTCAAACTGGCTGAGGTCATAATGCACACCCCAGAAACCTCCGAGGAGCCCACTGAGCCTAGAGTCATCGGCACCAGGTTGATACCCACTGTCTCTATAGGTAGCCATGTTATACCTTGTTGATTGCACCTAATTTTTAAATAAGTTTGTAATCAGTAATTTTTATGGGTTATTATTTTCATTTTATACTTATTACTTTCTGGAATATAAGGAAGGTTCAAGTGAAAAAAAATCCTAAATTTTTTCAGCTAGAGAATTTAGGAATAATTGAATGCATAACAAGCAATATTTTTTTGGTGAACATGTTTTTTTTCCTCCTTTCTTCTCTCTCTGTACCTCCTTTTCTTCTCTTTTTATTTTACTCCAGAAAGACTGTCCACTTTATCTGACCCATCCATCCCATAATCTCTTTATTATAAGTGCAGAGATTTTTCTTTCTTTCTTTTAAGCATCATCCTTTTGTGGATGTTTGGGGGATTGTAGGGATCAAGAATGCTTTGAGAAGGACTAAGAATTCCTAAACACAGATTATGGCGTTGGGGAGAGACTGCTCTCCTCGATGGCTCTGGCCCTTCATCTCCACCACTGACAGGTGGTAAGAATTAATTAATTCATGTCCTAGACTAGATGCCTGGGTCTCTGCGTGCCTTTTCTCCAGCCACAACATGGCACTCCTGAGGCACTTTGGAAGTAGTGACTCAAGAGACCAGCAGGTGGCACATGGGAACCAGTATATACAGGCCGTGGCCCAGGACAAAGAGATGTGGAGGACGAGGCCCATGTAGTGCAGGATCCGTTGGCTGACTTTCTCAGTCTGGAGGCATTGAATGCTGCCCATGAGGACAAATATCTGCACGACTGCAGAGAGGGCAAGACCAGGGTGGCACTGTAGTCATTCTTTTAGCCTTTCTAATCCTCTCTTAATCCAAATTACCTCATATGAGAATTGCAAGATGAAGGAAATATTGTAGGCAAAGCAATAAGCCTAATGTGAAGAGCTCAACATTGGTAGACATCTATAATAATAAAAGGGTAATATGCTAATTAGACCAGATGTCTTTCAGACGTCACTCTGGATGTCCTTCCTGACAAAGCTGGGGCAGAGGGAAGCCAGCCCAGGTCCTGGGTGCCGGAGGGAAGCTGGTGCCGGCAGCCAGGGGAAGGAAGGCCTACTCTTGCATGAATTTTCGTATATTGGGCCTCTAGTAAAATAATAATGATTATTATCTGGTTAGGTTGAACATGATTCAGTGGCGTTATTTAGGCATTTCTGGTTAATACAGTGGTTTCATTTAGGTGTTTCTGATTCTTTGACCTGTTCATTTTTTTTCAACCAGTGAATCTATATGAAGTAACTATTCTTTAGCCAATGGAGGGCTTGAATGCACGGTGGCGAATAAGACCCAATTTCAGCGCCCCAGGAAAACAAAGTAACTCACTTGGTTAAGTCAATAGGAAGGCGGGTGATGCATTTTGTACAAAACCGACAATTCAGTCTGATAATCAATATACTCAGCAGAATAGGCAGGTGTTGGGGCGATGATGGTTTGATTGATGGGGAAGCTATGACAGAAACAAGGAATAAACAGGATCATGGGGCCATTTATAAACCAGAATCATTTTTAAATTATTCTATTAACATATTAAGTGCCATTAAAATAATCTATATGCCCACATGTTCTATTCAAACGCCCCCCCACCCCTCTTTAGCTGGATCTACTGTGGACTCTATCACAAAGTAAGTGGTAAATGGAACCCTTAGAAAAGGTTCTTCTAAGATATAGAAAGTATCTTAGACTTTTTATAATATAGAATATGGATATTTTTCCTGCCATTGATTAATAAATTTATTAATGGCTGCACCTAGTTGCGTTTCTTTCTTTATACTTTCATTTTTGTAATTTATTTTATTTTATTATTGAGGCTAATCTGTTTAAAAATAACATATATAGTACAGTACATGAAGGGTAGCTTTACAGGGAACAGTGCTCAGTTATCCCAGAATATGAGAGGAGAGGAGTTTTATCTAGGACAAGAGGGGAGGAGTTTTATCTAGGCCAAGAGGAAGGGTTTGTTGGCACTGAGGACTGTTAGTCCCTGGTGAGTTGCCCCCAGAAGATGGGCATTGTTTTGGTTGCAGGCCTTTATGGAAGCAGAGCTTGTCCTCTCCCTGCACTAGTTTAGTCTCTTAGGGAAAAGGATAGGCAAGAGTGATTTATTTTATTTTTTTAAATGTATTTTATTGATTTTTTTTCAGAGAGGAAGGGAGAGGGATAGAGAATTAGAAACATCAATGAGAGAGAGAGAAACATCAATCAGTTGCCTCCTGCACACCCCCTAATGGGGATGTATCCACAACCAAGGCACATGTCCTTGACCGGAATCGAACCTGGGACCTTTCAGTCCTCAGGCTGATGCTCTATCCACCCAGCCAAACCAATTAGGGCATAGGCAAGAGTGATTTTAAAAGACCCTGTGCATACTCATGATTAAGAGGATCCATATCAGGCAGAGAGAGAAAAGAAGTACAAGGAATGCCTTCATTACCGATTTTCAAATAAATAAAGGCTTATCAACTGGAGAGAAACTGCTAGATAGAAGAAAGAGGGAACTAAAGCCAAGGCATCTAGTTTAGGAAGGAGTACCACTTTGATTCAAAAGATTGTGTGATACTTTTGGGGTAAATAATGAGAAGCTATGGAATAATCTACTTAGTGTCGGGGGCATACTTGTTGAGAACAATTTCAATGTGTGCCAATAGGGCTACAATTTAAGGCAATTAATAGGAGCATTAGTTTTAGTCTGTGTTTTGTTTTTATAATCAGCAATTAAAATATTTTTTCTCTTTAAGGAATATTTTAGGCATTCATGAAATATATTAAATACATATATCAAATACAGGTTGTTATATCAAATAACCATGTTCCCACCACATCATTATTTTAGAGTTTCAAATTTTGCTGTATTTTCTTCAGCCATTAGAAAAAAAAGCATAACTTTACAGATTATAGTGATGCCCCTGCTATGGAAGTGTGTTTAGATTCTGGGATACAGTAAGAGGAATTCTCAAAAAGGGTGGGATATAGACAAGATTACCTCTAAGACCCTAACACTTTGGAAACTTCTAGATGATGGAGTAGATGAGTTCATTTTTAAGTTGGTAAGGGTGGTGAGCTCCTAAATGAAGTCTTTTAACTATGCCAGGTTCTTACAGTATCAGCACAAGTAAAACCAAAGTTTGCACAAATGTTTTGGAAACAATGCATCCAATTATAGGTGATGTTCTTAAGTGGAAATGGTATACGTCCTACCTTCTGCCTTTTCAAGCGAAACTTAAAGTGGTAGAAAATACCTTAGACTTTTTATAATATAGAGTGTGAATTTTTCTTTCCTGCCATTGATTAATAAATTTATTAATGTCTGCCCTTAGTTGCATTTCCTTCTTTATACTTTCATTTTTGTAACTTTTTTTATTTATCTTATTTAAGTTTAATTTTATTTTCTTGTTTAAAGTATTACAAATAACAGTACATAGAGTGTGGATTTTAATCAATGAGCAGAGAAAAGAACTACAACAAGACCTACCAGTAAGAGTCACAAAATGACTTGTAGTAAATATTTAGCCACCAGCATGGTGAAATTCTGATAAAGATTCAAGGTGGAGAGTTTGGTGTCTAAATCCTAAGACTGGCACCTCCTTCTGAAGGAATTATGTTTATGGAGATCAGTGGCCAAATGCAGAATAACCAGACTTATTAATATCAAAGCAGGTTCCCCATCACAACATGACCACTCCACCTGCCCCATGCAAGGGATCTCTGG